AGAAAGGGTGTTCCCATCCATCCACCTCCTCACGTCCCAAGTAGAGTGAATGCCCTACGAATGCAGCTGCCAGTTTCCCGCCGGGCAGGGGGTGGATTCGAACTAGAATTGTATCAGGAGAAAATGGCCTGCTGGAAGTCCTTGTGGCAGTGCATGTATTGCGGATGGCGGTCACACCCAGAACGTTCTCTGATGTTCGGCGACAGGTTTTTATGGAGTTCTCGGGAAGCAGCCTGCTTTGGGCGGGACTGGGGGCGAGCGGTGAGGACCAGGGCCCTGGGTCTCAAACACCAGACGCTCAGCAGCAGCGGTCCCGTGCGGCTGCGCCGTGCCTGGGTTGTGATTTCGTTTGACTCGAGGAAGTCTTCCATGAAAGACGAGAGAAAGGAGTAATTATCTTACTCTCAGACTGTTCATGTTTTGTTCCCGACTGTCACACTCCGGTGTGAAATCTGTCGAGGTCTTTTCCATCGTTACAGCGTGAGAACCTAGGAAGCCAGTTTCAAATGAACCCTAACAAGTGGTTTTCGTATGCTCGCTCTCTCTCTCTCTCTCTCTCTCTCTCTCTCTCTCTCTCTCTCTCTAAATATATATACAGAAAACAAAGAGGTGTGAACATTGATCACGACGTCATTATGAATTAGAGCTATTTTCCAGAGAATTAGGTAAAATTCATTAAAATACTCATGGCTCCCGGGTCTTTTTCTTCCTTTCTTTTAACCTGCCACAAGCTTTTAATCACTTAAACAGTCAAAAGGAGGGAATGGAATGTTGGTGTTCACTGTTATAACTTGAGTGAACCAAGTCATTCATTCATTTTGCATGCCCTCAGTGCCTGCCTTATTGTCAGGCCCGGGTTAGGGGACCAGAAATACAAACGTGAAGGACCTGGGAAGTCACAGCGCGGAAGTGCACTCGAGTGCAGGCATGGCAAACTCGTGGCCCGTGGGCCGCCGGCCGCGGTTGTTGACCCGTGCTAGCCTTTGAGTTTGACATGCTCGCTTTAGTGCGACAGCAGGAGGCCTTGCTTGTCTGCCGTGGATTTACAGGTGCGAGAACTGGGTGTTTTGTTTTTAATCCTTGTAAATCCCATTTGCTTTAGGGACTGAACACTTGCCTGCTTGGGCCATGAGTTAACTCAAGAGGAAGACTAAAGCTGACTGTTTTCTTATCATCAAATCTCTGCATTTCCTTTCTCTCGCTGTTTGGGAATATAACCACTTGTTTTAATGAGAGATATTCTTTCTCAGCATGGTAATTATTCTAGCTCTCCAGAAGCTTTTGGGAAAAGCCCAGGGTCTTCTTTCGGGGGCAGTGTGTCAGCGTGGCCATTTTTGTTCCCGTTTAGAGGGCCTCCCGTGGTTTCAGAGACCTGTCTTTGCTTCCTTTAGTGAAGTTCTTGGAACAATTATAACCTGATAACCTGAGAATCAAAGTGACGCAGTGTGTTCTGGAAAGTTAACCCACTGTCAGTGTTTTGTTGCTAATGCTGTTCAGTTGCATTAGGGATTATCTTCTAGAACTCGGTGCTTCTGAGTAATATTAGTGGGTAAGACTTCTTGATCGCCTTTTTTTTCTTTTTTTTTTTTCATTCATAGGAGACTGGTAAATATTTGTGTCTCCCAACCCTCATCTTAGTTTAATGACTTTGTTTTAATGGAATTAAATTCTCCTTTACTCAGGATTCACACTATCAGCAAGCTCAGATAACCAGATAGAGTTTCCAATCTTTGTGACCTTGAACTGTTGCTCATCTCGAATGTTGTCAAAGGCTAGGCCTTCTGTTCAATCCGGTTTTGAGCTTAAGTACATTTTGCATTCCAGTTCTTTTGTCACCTGCATTTACTACCTATAGTAATTATCAGGCTTTTCGAAATCACTCAGTTTTCCAGCCTGAAGTAAGTGCGATGGTATTTCGATGAATCACCTGTGGTATATTAACACTCAAAGCGGAGTGTGCTATTACTGGCAGTTTTTAAGCAACGAGACCTGAAAGGCAGTAAGAGAACACCCATGAAGGTGGCCATCCTATCAGGGTCCAGCATGGTGCTGAGTGCTTAAAAGTACTAACTAACTGGACAGACCTCCTTCCGTGAGAAAGAACTCATTGACAAGATGATCTGATGATCTCAATCTTTCCCACATCATCTGGAGTCAGTGTTTCCTGCTTGGGTTTCTTAAGATTTAATGGCTGTTCTGCATGTACCAGAGGCATTCTATCCTTTCCAAAGAGCTAGGAAACCTCTTTATGGACAGACTTGTGCAGGAATGCCATCGTACTGAGATGGTCAAGACCAGGAAGTGCACCAGCCTGTGTAACCCTAGCCTGCAGCTCTGAACTTCCTCATTCACCTTTCTCTGACGACCCGTGGCAATGAAGAGAATCCATTTTTAATATGGTCGTTCCTCACCTGTTCTCTCTGAAAGAAGAGAGACCACATCCTCCGTGGTTGTGGAGAATGCTGCTTAAATATTTTATAGCTTATCCTGTGATGGAGCCTCAGCTGACATGCACTAATGCAAACGCGAGCTAGAAAGAAGGTTCTGGGTAACTGTTGTTAAATTGTCCTCAACCTTTTTATAAACCAGAGCATTATGTCCAGTTTTACCGGTCTTAAATGCTTGTAGAAAACACTTTATAATAAAATTCATTTAAAATAGAGCACCCTAACGCATTCACCTAGTAATTTAGTTTAGTCCTGGTAATAGCTCATTGGCACTGACGGTTTTAGTTTGAATTGGGACATGAACTGTTAAGCCAGGGAACCCATAGAATAGGTGTTGTTGGCATCTAATAAGTATTAAGACTCAAGAAGTCCTTAATTTTACTATTTGAAGGTATACTTTTTAGAAATTAAAACATTGCTTTTCAAAATAGAATTGCCATACTTAAAAAAAATTTTGTGCGGGTGGTGGGGGTGGGGGCAGAAGTATTTGGATGCATGTTCCCGAGAACAAAAGAAGCACTGGCATTTCAGAGGCTGCTGTTTGACCATCCCATCCCTCGGGAGCAGCCAGTTCCGGGCGGTATCAATGTCCCGTCGCCTGGCTTCTAGAAGGGAGTGGAAGCAGGAGGTTGGAGAGCAGCAGGCCGTAGCAGGAGGCCTGCACGTTGCAGGAAGCCACGGGCGGTGGCCGATGGCAAGGGACACCTGTGCCCACCGTCTGCAGGAGCTGACCCAGGCTCAGGGGGCGCCCTCTCCCCTCTGAGAGGCTCAGATCACCCGTTCTGCTCAGATGGATCATTCGAGGCGCAAGAAAAATAGTGCCATTTCCTTGTTGAGAAATTTAGAAAGAATTGTAGTCAGAAATAATAAACCCTTCATGTTGGTGCTTGATAGAGACAGCGGCGAACGGAGGCTCAGGCTGCTTGGGTCACCCCACGGGGTTTTGTTTGTTTGATGCCGGGATCCGGTGTCCACAGGTGTCTTATGTAAGGGGCTGATATAAACGGCCTCTCTCCTGCTAAGCAGACAGTGCCCTCAAGTGGAACGAAGACAAATACACAGTGACAAAGGAAGGGAAGGGAGAGCAGCAGCCGATGCTGGCCCTGCCCGCCCGCCCTCACCCGTGCTGGCACACAGCTCAGTGCTGTCTGGCTTGTGGAGGCACAGGCTTTTGAATAATTACCGTTATAGACGCCCCCTTATCCTACAGCGCATCCTAAAAGAAGTTCGGTTCTGTGTGGATTTGCCAGATTCCTTCATCATTAAGCGGGGACATTTAGCATTTGGTCCTTTAGTATTAGGAGTGTTTGTGTTTTCATTCCAAGAACGGAGTGGTGACTATGATAGTGCTGTCACCAGCCTGTCATCTGAGAGAGTGGAAATGGATACCTGTTGGGGGGGGGATGAATAGAAACCCATTCATGTGACAGAGAATAGTTAGGAACCATTGTTTGCAGTAAGATGATTAATTAAAATAATGGATTAAAGTCTTAATTTGAATGAATGAAATTGTATAGTTTTTAATCATCAATCAGGGTTGAGTAGGCTATTTTAATTTCAAAAGATCAGTATACTTGAAACATTTTAAATGAAAATTGGAAACTGAAAATCATCCATTGTGTATTCCTTTCTAGCATACATAGTTAAAATTGTGGTATAAAACATTTATATTTGATACTATATGGCTATATTTCCTTGGTACATAGTCTAAGTTTTGATGTCTCAGAACTGATTTTTTTCCAGATACCTTTAATATAACCAGAGTTACTATATCTGATAATGTTGATTGTGAGAAAGTAAATGATAGCTATGGTTAATATGATTAACATTTGCCTATCTAATGTACAAGCTAAGGAAACGAAACAGAGACAGAATGTTCCATTATCAAAACGTGGCACAGAGATAAGAGAATTGTGGTTCAGAATGTGATTTTATGACTCTTTAATTGAGAAAAGACGTTGAACATAATTGTTATGATGGATAGCTTTTTACATAACCTGGGTATGCACACAGAAACAATGGCTTATTTGACTTATATTATTTCTGTCCAAATATAGCAGGTTAGCCATTTAAATTAGGCAGTTTCTATTAAAAGTGCTACTTTTTAAAGCTTAGAAATGTCGGGCTGTGCGTATAGGGTTATCTTTTACTTAGACTTTGATTTTATGAACTTCAGTGCCTTGAAAACAAGCATTATTATATTGTCTTTGAAGATGCTCTACCATTGGGTCTCTTTAGTAAAATATGTGAAGCTACAGCACATACGAACACTGAGTCTCTAACCTCGTTAGCTATGGCGGGAAGTATCTATCTGAGTGTGTTTTCCTGGCCGAGCGAGGTCTAAAGCCTGTGCGACCTTGGTTCCAGCGCATGCGGAGTGAAGAGCTGTGGCCTGCCTGCCCCCCAGGCACCGCTTTCCTGCCATTCTGCAGCATGGACGCCCCGGCGCCCACACCACGCTCGGGGGCGGCCAGCGAGTTTACGGTTTGCCGATCCGCCACCAACACCGCAGCTGCCCTTTCCCCGCGTTAATCTTCCGGAGTCCGTGCCACCATGAGTTCGGGCCTATGGAGCCAAGAGAAGGTGGCGTCATCCTACTGGGAGGAGCGCATCTTCTACCTGCTGCTCCAGGAGCACACGGTGACCGACAAGCAGACCCAGAAGCTCCTGAAGGTGCCCAAGGGCGCGATCGGGCAGTACGTCCAGGACCGCGCCCTGGGGCACGCCCGGGGGCCGGCGGCCAAGGGCAAGAAGAGCCAGATCGGCCTGAAGCTCCTGGAGCAGCCGCACGCCGTGCTGCTGGTGGACGAGAAGGACGCGCTGGAGATCAGCGAGAAGTTCACGGAGCTGCTGCTGGCCATCACCAGCTGCGAGGAGCGGCTCAGCCTGCTGGACAACAAGGCCCGGCTGAGCAAGGGCCTGCACCTGGACGTGGGCAGCCCCGTGCGGGTGCAGCTGCGGCCGGGCGAGGAGAAGTTCCCGGGGGTCGTGCGCTTCCGAGGCCCCCTGCTGGCGGAGAGGACGGTGTCCGGCATCTTCTTCGGGGTAGAGTTACTGGTAAGCGCCAGAGACCACTTCTTTAGTGGGCTGTGTGTGCATTTTCCCCTTTAAATACCAAATATCTGCCCAGAGGTTTCCCAGAATGTTTACTCTTCATAATCCTGAGAATCGACTTCCTGGTGATACATTGAGGTGATGCCGCGACTGGTGGTTGGAAGCTTTAACAACTTCCTCCTGCAGGAGGAGGTACAAGCAGATCATGCAGTTATTGAAGACTTGCATGTCTTAGAATTCTTAAAAAAATACGTGTTGTTATTGATGTCAGAGAGGAAGGGAGAGGGAGAGAGAGAGAAATATCAATGGTGAGAGAGGATCATGGATCGGCTGTCTCCTGCATGCCCCCTCCTGGGGATGGAGCCTGTTACCCTGGGCATGTGTCCTGACCAGGGAATCGAACTGTCACCTCCTAGTTCATGGGTCGACGCTCAACCACTGAGCCACACCCGCGAGGCAGAAATTTTAATATTGTCTGTGATTGTACACGACTCAATCACATCAGAAAGTGGTTAGTTATCTAGTGGCGTTATCCTCTGCAGCTTGCTCAGTTTTTCTTACTGTGCGTCAGTAAGTGATGTAATTTGGAGAAAAGATTTTTTTTTTCTTAATACGTTGTGGTAACTTCAGCCTGCTGATCGTTGTTCCTGTTAGCTATGGGAAAGTCATCTGGGAACTTATTTCTGCTGAAAAGAGAACCAAGAACTCGTGACAGGTTTTCAAAATGAATATTAATTCTTGAGAACTCCACATGTCAGGTTCAGTCTGACAGCCATGCAAATAGAACTTCAGGCCTTGTTAGCTTCTTGATACAAGGGCCTAAAGCAGAGCGGGTGAAACCATTGGAGATCTGAATCCCAGCTCTGCTGGTTCCTAGCTGGGTTACCAGGTTACCCAAGCTCCTTCTCTAACTCGGCTTCCTCGCCTGTCAAATAGCACCTGACGTGCGGGGTTTTAGTGACACATCGATTCAGGACGTAGCCCATAGCTGGCACATAGCATGTGCTCAATAAACACCGCTTGCGTCACCATTATTTAAAGTCAAATTTTCCTTCTACGACAGAATTATTGTTCAGATGACGAGGTAGAATTCAATTTAGCCCTCTCGTAGTAGAATTACAATTTTAAATGATGAAGTAATTTTATTTAAGCATCAGATACAGCTTCTTCCTTATTTTAAAAATATATATATATATTATTGATTTTTTACAGAGAGGAAGGGAGAGAGATAGCCAGAAACATCAATGAGAGAGAAACATTGACCAGCTGCCTCCCACACATGCCCCACCGGGAATGTGCCCGCAATCAACGTACATGCCCTAAACCGGAATTGAATCCGGGACCTTTCAGTCCGCAGACCGACGCTCTACCACTGAGTCAAACCGGTTTCAGCTTCTTCCTTATTTTTTTAAAAAAGCATCCTACATCCAAAAGCAGCCGCTCATAATTCCATTCCTTCTCTGCGTCATTTAGAAAATGTTCAGTGATTTCCCTGAAATCCCAGAGAGGGTATTTTTTTCTTATGGGTTGTCTTTGTCTGTCTGCTTGTCTGTCTGTCTATCGATCTATCTTTTTTCCCTTAAAAAAAAAAAACCCTAAAAAACCAGGAAGAAGGCCGCGGCCAGGGCTTCACGGACGGGGTGTACCAGGGGAAGCAGCTCTTCCAGTGCGAGGAGGACTGCGGCGTGTTCGTGGCGCTGGACAAGCTGGAGATGGACGAGGATGACAACGGCCTGGAGAGCGACTACACGGGCCCCGACGCCGTGCAGGCCGAGCTGCCGCCGCTGGAAATCAACTCGCGGGTGTCTCTGAAGATCGGCGAGAGCCTGGAGTCCGGCACCGTCATCTTCTGCGGCACTCTGCCGGGAAAGGAGAGCCTGGGCTATTTTGTTGGCGTGGACATGGTAAGACACTTGCGGGTTACATCATCTCCCTGGAGACGCAGCTGTTACTTCTGTGACCCATGTCAGGACCGAGTCAATGCTTCGGATATTTCAAACGGACTGCTTCGGAGTCATTTGAGAGCAGGTTCTGGTGGGTCTTTGGTAAAGGAGATTGCTAGGGGACAGGAGACCCGATGGAGAATTGCATGTCCTCTTTTTATCAGGTGACTGAACTAAAGTGACCTTTCCTGTCTTTAAATCTGCTGTATGATAGCTGACAGCAGACAGAAAAACACACCAAAACATATTCCATAATACCTTATTTTTCGTTCTTTTGAAAAGGTGTTTTTTTTTTTGCAGGGGGGAGGGGGTCTGTTTTCTCTTTAGTTAATATTTTGCAACATGTGACTGGCTGATGTGGTTTCCATGGCAGCAGGAAAGTCACCTGTGGAGGCACCTGACTAGCGGACTAGCTCTTGTTCCAGAGGAGGAGACAAGGACAGCATTTTCTTAGGATAAACTCGCTCAAAAAATTAATCAAAACTTATCTGGTAAAACGCACAGGACATACTTACAGCCTTAATTGTTTTTATGTGTCCAGGTCAGTGGCAGGAAGTCCATTCATACCGTTGTGTGCCCACCGCCCCACCCATCCCCAGAACTTTCTCATCTTCCCAAACTGGAGCTCTGTGCCCCTCAAACCCTGACTCCCCAGGCTCCCTCCCCTCCGCCTGCGTTCCCTTGGTAACCCTCGTTCTATTATACTTCCTGCCGCTGGGAATTTGCCGATTCGAGGTTCCTCATAGAAGTGAATCATACAGATCATCCAGTGAATCATTTGTTGTTTTTTTTGTTTGTTTGTTTCATTCATTTTTAATGCTCCCCTGCACTCTTATCTATTAGCGACGGCACATTCCCCGTCAGTGCTTTGAATGAGGCCTGTGGGATTCAGCGGAGGAGGAGAAAAGGCTGGGGACATTTGTATCGTAGATTGAAGATAGGGACAAGGGTTTGTTAGGGATAAAGGAAGAAATCCATACGGAAGTATGACACACTGGCATGAGCCGGGGCGGATGTGAGACACGGCCTGTGCCCACCACGTTTGTAGGGTTACCCCTCTGTTCAGGTGTGCTTGTTGGCAGGTACGAATGTTCCAGCCTGAGTTTCTCTGGTCCTGTGCTGGGAAATTCTAGTAAATTCTTCTCCGTAGCCCTCAGTTAGACAAGCATTTGGTGGATATTTCACATGAACCGAGTCAGAGCCAGAGGCAAACCTGTGGTCCCTCAGGAGAGCTTCAGTGAAGTCCGCCTTCAAACCATCCTTCTTTTTAGAATATATGTTTTTATTGATTTGAGAGAGAGAGGAAGGGAGCGGAGGGATAGATAGAGAGAGGAACATCCATGATGAGAAAGAAGCCTTGGTCACCTGCCTCCTGCACGCCCTCTACTGGGGATTGCACCTGGAACCCCTACAGGTGCCCTCAACCGGAAACCGACCCCGTGACCTCTTGGTTTGTGGGTGGACACTCAACCACTGGGCAATACCGGCCGGGCCGAACCATTATCCTTTAAACACTCAGCATTAGTTTAGAGGAAAGACGGCGAGCTGGGTGAGGGAGGCTGGAGAAGGAGGGCCGCTGGTCATTGGGTTAGTCTCCCTTTGCTTCAGGCCATTTGGACCTCACACTTGGCAAAAGCTCTGCCCCCCTTAGCTGGCAGTCTGGGCATCGCCTGGCCCCCTGGGGCAGGCTGCCCAGAGGAGACCCTCCTACCGCCCCCCACTCCCACCCCTTGCCTCTCCCCGCCTGTGGCTGTGCCCCCGCGGGCTGTGCAAGCATCCTTCCAGCCCCTCCAGGCGCTCCTGGAAATGCAGTTCTGGCAAACGCATGGTCTTCAGTTCCTCCTGTTTGCGGGGACACCAGTGTGTGTGCACACGGAGCTCAGCGTAGTTCTCTGGCTGCCCCCACTGCAGCGTGAGAGAGGCGGGGGATTCTGTTCACGGAGCGTGTAGGCTTTGACCGTGGCGTCTACTGCGGGCTCGGAGGCTGATCCTGTCACTTCACTCCTAGGACAACCCCATCGGCAACTGGGACGGCAGGTTCGACGGCGTGCTGCTCTGCAGCTTCGCCAGCGTGGAGAGCACGCTGCTCCTGCACATCAACGACATCCTCCCAGGTCCGTGTCCCCGCGCGCGCTGTGGGCAGCGGGCGGCGTGGGGGAGGCGTCCTTCCTTGTGAGGATGCACCTGTCAGCTTCGGGGGGCATTCTTGGAGCTTTTATGGAATTGGAATTGCTATTCAATAGCCCAGCCCCGTGGTCGGCAAACTGCGGCTCGCGAGCCACATGCGGCTCTCTGGCCCCTTGAGGGTGGCCCCTTCCATAAAACGCCACGGCCTGGGCGAGTCTGTGTTGAAGAAGTGGCGTTAGGAGAAGCTGAAGTTTAAAAAATGTGGCTCTCCGAAGACATGTCCATCGTTGTCCTGCTGATATTTGGCTCCGGGGACGGATGAGTTTGCCGACCACTGGCCTAGCCTTTCTTACCCCACATCAAAACAAGACTGACCGAGTTTTCTGTCCAAGGATGTGTGAGTGCGGGTGCCATTCGCTTTTCCTCACTGTCCATTCTGTGTGTGGGGGGGGGATGGGGGTGGTGGTGGTGGGCGGGCATCTTACTGAGCTCTTTGCCTGCGTGGGTAGCCCCAAGTGTGTGATCCCCCAAATTAGACAACTTACACTCTTTTGTATTCTTGACAGACTTACAAGGTAGGTCTGAATGATCCCCATTTTGTTGATAAAAAAAAAAAAAAATGGAGGCTTAGATCAGGCCCAGGGGGACCACGATTGACGGGGGTCGAGTCCAGACCTGTCAGATCCGAAAGCCCCGCTCCATGGCTGCCTCACCCCTCCTGTGTGTACCCTGGGCTGTGAGGACCGGCATGGGCACATACACTTCTCTGCCTCACTCGTTTCCGTTTCCACCAAGGTTCTGTTTCCATGGAGATGTATTTTGTGTCTAGTTCTATGAAAGCTAAATTTTACTGGAACAAGGATGACAAGTGAACGAGACGGTGTGTTTGCCCCCGGTTTGTCCATCCCTGCCCAGTCTGACACGGGGCCCTGCGAGGTCCCGCCGGCCACCCCAGGCCTGGCTTCTCCTCCTGTAGACCACGGGGGCCGGTACCGGGCGGTCCTGGGAGTCCCTCTCGCCGGCACGGTCTGTCCTCCCCTTTCCCGCGGGCTGACAAGTATTAGATGCTTGTGTGGGGCGTCAGGAAGTGCTTTCTCCGTTGGGCTCTAGCTTTCCGGCGAGAGGACGGTGGCTTCGTCGGAGGCGATGACGTGAGCTGCACCCAGTTATACTTTGTGACGTGCTGTGATCCTGATTTCTGTGAAATCAGTTCCTACTTCCCTGTCATTGGCTTTCTAGCGATTCTCCTGCTTCTGTGGAAGCTCGGGGTGCTGTCATATGTGATCAGATCGTACCCAGGAACTTGTAATTGACCTTGTTAAGCCTGTTTACGGGAAGAACATAATTTGTGATCTGATAAACCAAAGTACTTCTTAGTGTTGGGATACACGCTTACGTTGAGAAGGCAGTTTTGTAAGAGGCCATGCGTTCATTCAGACACAGTAGGCCCGCGCTCGGGCTTCTGGGAGGAGGTGAGGTCTGATACGAAGCAAGACGTGAAGCTGCCACACGAGCTTTCATTCCCAGTGACACCCAAGGCCAGTGGATGCGCGGATGGGGAGGGGGAAGCGAGGCGAGGGGAGGGCAGTGCCAGGCCGGGGGCGGAGGGATGAAGGTGGCACATTTTCTAGAAATTAGAGCAGTTGGCTGCGTTGTGTTTGGGGTGTATTATCATGTAGAAATTTCGCTTCGGGATACAGCATTGATCCCGAGACTTTTGATGGCCCTGAATAATTTGTAGAACTGTTGTGCAAATACCGCTCTGTTGTTGGAAGAGATTGTTGTTGTATGTCATTATTTGCTAGTTGTTTCTCTCCTGTGAGGATGTGCTTGCTCTTTTAAAGACCGTGTTTTCTGTTTCAGATAGCATGACCCAGGAGAGGAGGCCTCCCAAGCTGGCCTTCGCGTCCAGAGGCCTGGGGGACAAAGGCTCCTCCGGCCACAGCAAACCAAAGGTGACAGGTAGGACGGCCAGCGTGCAGGGCGCGGTTATAACGGGACAGCCGCTTGCCTTTCAGCCGGGGTCAGTCGTTCCCTGAAACTTTAAAAAAAATACATATTTTATTGATTTTTTTACAGAGAGGAAGAGAGAGGGATAGAGAGTTAGAAACATCGATGAGAGAGAAGCATCGACCAGCTGCCTCTTGCACACCCCTTACCGGGGATGTGCCCGCAACTAATGTACATGCCCTTAACCCGGAATCGAACCTGGGACCTTTCAGTCCGCAGACCGACGCTCTATCCACTGAGCCACACCGGCTTCGGCAGGACCCTGACACTTTTTATGGATGATGTTGATCCAGTCCTGCTCCAACCCGTTGTGGTTGGAGAAGCGTGTCCGCTGAGGACCTGTGTCTTGCTGGTCCGTGTCATCGGGCTCGTGGGACTCCCCGCTCCTGACGTGTGTGTGTACCTTGTTGAGGGGCGCAGCAGGACAAACGGATCCTTCAGGGCGGGCTAACGTAGTTTTATAGCTGCGAGTACCTGAAACGCAGAGTTTATTCTCATCCTATTACCATCGATGAATTATGGAATTGTTTGTCGTATGAACACCCGTGAGCCTGTGTTTGCCCCACCCTGTGCATGGATAAGAAGTAGAGGTTAATTATGAGGGTTTTGCTAACGAGAGATGCACAAATGAAATTCCAAACTGCTAAGCAAACATTTCTATCTCTCTTCCAGAACCTCCCCCAAAAATAGATGCGGGGTTCTTAGCTCTCTCTGGCAGCTGCCACATATTTCATAGATGTATGGATGGTGGTTATGTAAGCCGAGGAGCTCCTTTAAAAAGCTGCAGGAACTTTGGCTAACTCAGAAGCGGATCAGGGGAGGAATGTCTTCTCCTCGGTCACCTAGAGAACAAAACTGTTTTGGCTCATTGGAAAGGAAATTGCGCTTGAGAAATAGCTTACCTCCCGAGACACGGAGAATCAGACAGAATGTGTGGGTGATGGCATATCTTTGTGCTCACTGGAGGTCTAGGGGGACAAAGGCTGCCCTCACTTACACCAAGAGCCTAAGTGCGTGGCCAGTGCCAGGGGGAAGCCGGTGCCCACAGCCGGGGAAAGGAAGGCCCCACTTACACGAAGTTAGTGAATTGGGCCTCTCGTAGTCCGTGAAATGAATAAAAAAAAAACCCCAACATTTTATAAAAGCAGTTTGTTTAATAACTTATATGGTTTTCTTTAAACTTACTCGTTTCCCCTCCTGCGCGGAGTCTCGGTTGGAAGAATCTTTAGGCTCAGAGGCAGACGGCACCGGTAGTGCCCGGTGTTGGCGGGCGCGGACGGGCTGTGTGAGCGTTAGCACCGGGCCGGTCTGGCTCATCACGGGAGCGCGGCCACTCGGCCTGGCCTCTGTGTGGAAAAAAGCAGCTTCTCTCGCTCCCCAGGCTCTACCTCAGACCCGGGAAGCAGGAACAGATCTGAGTTATTTTACACCTTAAACGGCTCTTCTGTGGACTCACAGCCGCAACTCAAGTCCAAAAACACGTGGCACATGGATGAAGGTAGGCGATCCGCCTTAGCTCAGTGCTGACTTGTGGGGTGGGGGTGGGGGGCGATTGGCCACGTAGGCAGCTGGAGATACAGATCTGGGGCTCAGAGGAGAGGGAAGAGCCAGGGAAATGAGTCTGCAGGCTGCCTTCATACATGTGGTGATCACAGTCCCACGAATATGTCACCTACGGAGAGTGGCTGGGGTGCTGCTGAAGGCGGAGCCTGAGGAGCTTACTGGCTGGGAGGTGTCATTCTCTCTGGGTGCTGAGGAGGCAGGGGGTCTGCAGTGCGGTCACGGCCCACCAGGGAGCGGCGGGCGTGGGGCCTGGGGTGCGGGCATCGGCGGGGCGGCGGGGCAGCAGGGCAGGGGGGCGGCGGGGCAGCAGGGCAGGGGGGCGGCGGGGCAGCAGGGCAGGGGGGCGGCGGGGCAGCAGGGCAGGGGGGCAGCGGGGCAGCGGGGCAGGGGGGCAGTGGGGCGGCGGGGTGGCCGTCTGCGGGGCGTCCCGCTAACGGAGACCCGCTCTCTGCAGTGGCCGAGGACTCCGCCAAGTCGCTCACCGAGCTGTCCCCGGAGCTGGGCCAGGTGTCGCCCCCGCTGCAGCCCCCGTCCATGAACTCGCTGTCCGGCGAGAACCGGTTCCACTCCCTGCCCTTCAGCCTGACCAAGCTGCCCAGCGCCAACGGCGCCATCGGCCACAGCCCGCTCTCGCTGTCCGCGCAGTCCGTGACGGGCGAGCTGGGCACGGCGCCCGTGCCCGACAGCCCGCCCGTGGCCGCGTCCCCCGGCAGCGCCCACGGCCTGGAGGTGGGCTCGCTGGCCGAGGTCAGAGAGAACCCGCCCTTCTACGGGGTGATCCGCTGGATTGGGCAGCCGCCGGGCCTCAGCGAAGTCCTCGCCGGCCTGGAGCTGGTAACCACCCCTCTGCGGGGCGCCGGGGTCCCCTGCCCGGGCTCGGGGCTTGCTGTCTCTGTCAGAACAGTTTTCCCCTCGTCACCCGACTTCCCCTGCCCCAGTGGCCTCTGGTCACCTGCTCCTAAGGGACAGCCCATCCACGGCCGGATGGACATGGGATTTACGTTCAGGCTCATTGTGAAGGCGGCGAGGGAACCGCCCCGATTGGCTTCCGTGTTCCTCCCCGCGGCCCCCCACCCACCCAGTCAGCGCTAACATCGCCCCCCGGCTGTGAGATGAACCCCATGCTAAGGAATCTTTGGGGTCTTTGCCAGAAGGAGAGGTTTCCCCTTGGCGATTAGGACAGTGCATTGTTTGATGTTTCATAACCGGGAGAGGAGAACTGGCTGGAGCAGGTTTAGCTTTTATTAGGCAGGCTCTGTGGTAGCTGTCTGCGTGCTCCTTCATGCTGCTTTTTGGGAGGGGGGTGGTAAAATGAACAGCTCTCCTCCCCCCCCTAAAACACACATGGTTTTAGTGTTTTTGGAAAAGATGCAGGGAGGTCAGTCGGCCAGGGAAGGTTCCAGCACGGACTCCGAGGGGACCCCTGAGGGCTTCGTGCCGGGTTAAGGGGGATTTCTTAGACGTGAGCTGTGGGCCCACATGTGACTAGCCAGCCCTGCCCGGGGTCCTCACCGGCGGGCGGGGCCACAGAAGGTGCAGGCACACGAGCCTGGGCTCCCTGCGCGCTCCCTCTGCGCAGGCAGAGTGACCTGGCGTCTCTTCCAGGAGGACGAGTGCACGGGCTGCACGGACGGCACCTTCCGGGGCACCCGCTACTTCACCTGCGCCCTCAAGAAGGCGCTCTTCGTCAAGCTCAGGAGCTGCCGGCCCGACTCCCGGTTCGCGTCCCTGCAGCCGGTGTCCAACCAGATCGAGCGCTGCAACTCTCTAGGTACCTGCCTGCCCGGCCCGGCCCGGCCTGCCCCGCAGTGCCCCGCCCGCCCCACAGTGCCCGGTCAGGCCTCAGAGCGCCGGAGGGCGGGGCCGCGGTAGGTGGCACGGGCCGGGCCGGGACAGTGTGTGTTGTGCCAGCCTTCAGAGTGTTGCCTGTGCGTGAGGAAGCACAGTTGTCCTAAGCGGGGGCGTTTAAGGAAGGGAACACGTGTGTGAGACTTAAGAGGGGAACGTGGTGGGATCAGTTTTGTCGCCCTGGGGGTGACTGATGTAGTTTTCAGCAGCCAGGAGGTAGGTGTGCGCGTTTGGGGCATAACTTCGCTCAGCCTCTTCCCAGCGCCAGTGGGCAGTGCTGTCAGCAGCGCTGGGCAGGCAGGTATGGGCAGTGCTGTCAGCAGCACCGGGCACGCAGGCAGCGGGCACACTGTCCGTCAGCGCCGGGCACGCTGTCCGTCAGCCCCGGGCACGCAGGCAGTGGGCAGTGCTGTCAGCAGCGCCGGGCAGGCAGGTATGGGCACGCTGTCTGCCAGCGCCGGGCACGCTGTCAGCAGCGCCGGGCACACTGTCCGTTCCCACAGGCAGCGGCGCAGCTTGCTCCCCGCAGGGCGGGCGCGTCCCCGGTGGCGGTGGCGGTGGCGGCTCCGTGCGCCCTCCCGGTGGCGGTGGGGAGCAGCCCAGGGCCAGGCTGGCCTCGTAGGAACTTCCAGGAAGACGTTTCTCAGGCAGCTGAACTAGCACTTTGGGGTTTTTGTTGTCTTTTCCAACTGGAAAAGGACACAGCTGCAGACAAGAAGGTATTTGGGGAACAAGATACCTGATGGGCAGGTGCCTTTCACGTGAATGACTCGTGTTCTAAGTGCTGTCTGAGCTGTGGGGAGGTGAGGCTGGAGATACACAGGAGCCTTTCCTACAAGCCGAGCGAGGAACAGTTAACCCAGCCTCCCCTCCCCTTAGCTTGGAGTGGAAACAAATATTGCCTCAAAAGGCAAAAAAAATTTTTAAAAATATATTTTTTTATTGATTTCAGAGAGAAAGAGAGAGATAGAAACATCAATGATGAGAGAGAATCATTGATCATTGATTGGCTGCCTCCTGCACACCCCCTACTGGGGACCAAGGCCACAACCCGGGCATGTGCCCTTGACGGGAATCGAACCTGGAACCCTTCAGTCCGCAGGCTGATACTCTCTCCACTGAGCCACACCCGCTAGAGCACAAAAAAATATTTAAGTGAAGACATGCGCAGAGATGCCTGTTGTCACAGTTTAAAAGATTTACTGTTTCCACCTTTATTTTCCTTCTCAGCCTTCGGAGGCTACCTGAGCGAAGTAGTGGAAGAAAATACTCCCCCGAAAATGGAGAAGGAAGGTTTGGAGATAATGATTGGAAAGAAGAAAGGCATCCAGGGCCATTACAACTCTTGTTACTTGGACTCGACCTTATTCTGGTAAGTTTAACACTCACCCGGGAGGAATTAAACTTTGGGTTTAATTCCCAAGAATTCACTAAGGAGTACAGACAGTTTAGATGGTATATAATGAAATGCAGGCCTCCTTTCCTCTCTCAAAGACTAAGACTCAGAGAAACCAGTCTCCCCACCTGGCCGGGTCTCCAGGCCCCGGTGACTGGGCTCCAGGCCCCGGTGGGAATCTCAGCGGGGCTCGGATCCCGCATTCATACAAACAGGAATTTCTGCGCGGTGTGTTCCCCAGGCGTGCGGCTTGTCCTCCCCATTCCTCTCACTCCGCGCTTCTCAGGAAGATGGCAGGCTTACAGCACGAGCACTCTCTCTCTCTCTCTCTCTCTCTCTCTCTCTCTCTCTCTCTGCAGCTTGTTTGCGTTCAGCTCCGTTCTGGACACGGTGCTGCTGAGGCCCAAGGACAAGGACGATGTGGAGTATTACAGCGAGACGCAGGAGCTGCTGCGGACTGAGATCGTCAACCCGCTGCGGATGTGAGTAGAGACAGTGGCCGCTGCCTGGGCAGGCGTACTAGTTGCCGTTTCTTGGTAAAACAATTCATTCACGCCTGGCTTTTATGTAACAAGAAACGGGTGGGATTATTTTCTGGGTGGAGTTTCAATGATGGTTTTAACCTTTGGTCCTAGTATTGCCTCTACTCATTGGATTTTCAGTCTGGCCGAGATATAGCGTGGAGTGTGTGTCATGGAGCCATGGGCCCGGGGTGGACCGGGCTGCTCCCAGCCCAGCAGTCACTGTCCCTCTTCGTCCACATGATACAGTCGGGCTTCTTAAGCCACATTTGATCTGCGAGCAAAGGGAAGCTTTACTGGCAGGGGAGTGCGTGATCATGCGTTCTTTATCTCCGCAGCCAGCGTATATTGAGCACCTAGCACCGAACATAAAAAATCTAAACAAAGACCAGCCAGTTCTGAGCGGCCCATGGGCAGCCCCCGGCTGCCTCCCGAGAGCAAAGTGTCATGATGGTGATGGCCGGTTTTGAGTGCACATGTTAGACTGTCATGTCTTAGCACCACCTCTTCCCTGCCTCCTGGCGGCTGGCTCATTCTTTAACACTAAAGGGACTCTCTCTTTCTCTCAAAGTTATATGCTTTGTTCAATAAGATAGCTTTGATTTCTTAAGCAAATAGCATTTTTTAGGGTATAATAGTGTCAGGGATAATTCTGATTCCAGACTCTTAATTTTTCAAACCTCACCCCTGTAAATCAATAAAAAGGAAAAAAAAAAAAAGAAGCCTATAATTATATTTTTCAAAACAGTTGTCTAGCTGTTGATTTATGGCATGCTGAAGTTATATAAGGAATTTGTGATTATAAAATGTTCTATGAATTGAATGTAAATGCCAGTACTAACTCATATTTTTCCTAACACAGATACGGATATGTGTGTGCCACGAAGATTATGAAACTGAGGAAAATACTGGAGAAAGTTGGGGCTGCGTCAGGGTTTACCTCTGAAGAGAAAGGTGACCGTCTGACCTCACGGGACTTGCCCACAGATGATGGAAATTAAAATTATTTTATCATGTGTGAATGATTGTACCTTTTCAAATGCAATGACATCATAACAAAATTAGAACTTGATATTTTATCACATCCTTTATATTTTTAGTTAGGAAGACATGAGAACCGTCCGTGCTTTTAATTGAGATACGATTGATTATGAAACTGAATTCAGTATAGATATATTACTTATAAAAAAAAAATAGAATGATTTAAAGGTTTGGCCGGGACTTACTTGATTTTTTATTTTCTCCTAGATCCTGAAGAATTCTTGAATATCTTGTTTCACCATATTTTGAGGGTGGAGCCTTTGTTAAAAATAAGGTAACGTTTACATTTTTATAGACGCGCTGGGAGAAGAGGCTCCTCGTCCCCTCTGCCATCGCTGCCGACGAGGCCCCTCGGGGGTTAGGGTCTCCACGGGCTCCGTTCCCACAGGCCCGTCTTCTCTCCAGAACTAACTCATTAACTCAGGGACAAAGTGAATAGAAACAGAAACCCAAGACCTGGAATGATGGGTGGCTGGGGAGGAAGGCGTGTAGTTATTTTATCTAAATTACTAGAGGCCCAATGCCCAGAACTGTGCACGGTTAGGGTACCTGGGCCTGGCCGGCGATTAGGGCCGATCGGGGGCCTTCCAGCTGCCGGCTGCTGGCCGGGGCCTCCCTTTCTCAGCTGCGGCTGCTAGCTGGGGCCTTCCTTCATTCCGTGCTGCCCCCTGGTGGTCAGCACACATTGTAGTGAGCGATCGAACTGCCGAGGGGATACTTTGCATATTAGTCTTTTATATATATAGATGGCCTTTGCCCTGTTGGTCCGACGTCAGAAGTTGCACCATCAAATGTGTAGTTTTCTGTCCTCAGATACTATGAGAGCCACTTCACGTTGTGGTGAAAGTGTCTCACAAGTAAACTCTGTGGGGTTTTCTGCATGTTCCCTTTTAGGTCGGCAGGTCAAAAAGTACAAGATTGTTACTTCTATCAAATTTTTATGGAAAAAAATGAGAAAGTTGGAGTCCCTACAATTCAGCAGCTGTTAGAATGGTCTTTCATCAACAGCAACCTGAAATTTGCAGAGGTTAGTGGTCGGTGCTTGTGTTTTATAGGGAAGTTCTGACCGGGAATCAAACCCTGACCTCCTGCTTCAAAGGTAGACACTCCGCCACTGAATCACGCAGGCCGGGCTCACAGGGAAAGTTTTTTGATTCTAGAAATACTTACCTTTTCTTCAGGCCCCGTCATGCCTGATCATTCAGATGCCTCGGTTTGGGAAGGACTTTAAACTCTTTAAGAAAATCTTCCCTTCTCTGGAACTGAACATCACGGACTTACTGGAAGACAGTAAGTAGGAGCTCTGTCTGCTCTGCTGGTCCCTCGGAGTCCGAGGGCTCTGCTTCGCTGGGAGCGGGCGGGAGGCAGGCCCTCCACGGCGTCTGTGTCCGTGGAGCCGGGAGTGTGCAGCCAGAATCCGTTCTGAGAACGTCACCAGGAAGGCCGATACGTGTTGTACACACGCACGGGCTCATGGGTGCCTGACTGAGAAGTCAGAAACCATCTGTGTGCTAACAAGGGCGAGTTGTTAAGTGGGTTCCGGCGCGTCCGTCCTGTGTTCGGGAACCCGCAGTATGAAAGTGATGATGGAACGTTAAGTCCATGTTCTGTACAAGAGGAGCTATCAGCGCACACCACGCACACACACACACACACACACACACACACAGGCTCGGGGCAAGGAGCTGTGAACACAGGAAGGTGTAAACGTGAGAGGGCGGAGGCTGGAGGAAGCGCATGTGCTGACAGTGGCATCTCGCTCACTGGAACGGGATGCTTTCAGCTTCCTCTGTCCCGTCTGCGTCGTTGAAAGTCCTTCAATACACTCTCGATGCGGGGGGAGCACCTAGAATCTATTAATCTAAAAAATGAGACATTTCTGAAAGTTATCCCGAACCCACGGAAATCAGTTTCAAGCGTGAGGGGGTGGGGGGAGAGCGTAAGCGTAAGCTCCGAGGACGGAGCTTAGGTTTTAATCGTTTCCGCGGAAGAGTGCGTTAAAGGCCCTCCGTCCCGCCCAGCCCCCCGGCAGTGCCGCATCTGCGGAGGGCTGGCCATGTACGAGTGCCGGGAGTGCTACGAGGACCCCGACATCGCCGCCGGGACCATCAAGCAGTTCTGCAAGGCCTGCAACACCCAGGTGAGCCCCCGCCCCCGCCCCCGCCCCCAGGCTGCGCGCAAACGGAAGGGTTCTCACTCGTCACCGACGCCCGCAAGCTCGTGCTCAGGCGGCTGGTGCCCGCCCGAGTGCGCCTGGCAGGCTCCGAGGCCTGGGCCGCGGCCGGAGGGGAGTCCCTCCCGGCACCCCCGAGCCTGGCGCTGCCCGCTCCGCGCAGGTCCACCTGCACCCCAAGAGGCTGACCCACAAGTACAGCCCGGTGTCGCTGCCCGAGGACCTGCCGGCCTGGGGCTGGCGCGGCGGCGTGCCCTGCCAGAAGCTGGAGCTGTTCGCCGTGCTCTGCATCGAGACCAGCCACTACGTGGCCTTCGTCAAGTACGGCCGGGACGACTCCGCCTGGCTCTTCTTCGACAGCATGGCCGACCGGGACGGTAACGCCTCGCCCCCGGACAGCGTGCGGGACAGCGTGCGGGACAGCGTGTGGGGGACAGCGTGTGGGGGACAGCGTGTGCGGGGACAGTGTGCGGGGGACAGCGTGTGCGGGACAGCGTGTGCGGGGACAGTGTGCGGGGGACAGCGTGTGCGGGACAGCGTGTGGGGGACAGCGTGTGCGGGGACAGCGTGTGGGGGACACCGTGTGCGGGACAGCGTGTGGGGGACAGCGTGTGCGGGGATAGTGTGTGGGGGACAGCGTGCGGGACAGCGTGTGCGGGACAGCGTGTGGGGGACAGCGTGTGCGGGGACAGCGTGTGCGGGGACAGTGTGCGGGGGACAGCGTGTGGGGGACAGCGTGTGCGGGGACAGTGTGCGGGGGACAGCGTGTGCGGGACAGCGTGCGGGGACAGCGTGTGCGGGACAGCGTGCGGGGGACAGCGTGTGCGGGGACAGCGTGTGCGGGGACAGCGTGTGCGGGACAGCGTGTGCGGGGACAGCGTGTGGGGGACAGCGTGCGGGGGACAGCGTGTGGGGGACAGCGTGTGGGGGACAGCGTGCGGGGGACAGCGTGTGCGGGGACAGCGTGTGCGGGGACAGCGTGTGGGGGACACCGTGTGCGGGACAGCGTGTGCGGGGACAGCGTGTGGGGGACAGCGTGTGCGGGGACAGCGTGCGGGACAGCGTGTGCAGGGACAGCGTGCGGGACAGCGTGCGGGACAGAGTGCGGGACAGCGTGTGGGGGACAGCATGTGGGGGACAGAGTGCGGGACCGTGTGTGCGGGGACAGCGTGTGGGGGACAGCGTGTGGGGGACAGCGTGTGGGGGACAGCGTGTGGGGGACAGCGTGTGGGGGACAGCGTGTGGGGGACAGCGTGTGCGGGGACAGCGTGTGGGGGACAGCGTGTGCGGGGACAGTGTGGGGGACCGTGTGTGCGGGACCGTGTGTGCGGGACAGCGTGTGCGGGGACAGCGTGTGCGGGGACAGTGTGTGCGGGGACAGCGTGTGTGGGGACAGCGTGTGGGGGACAGCGTGTGGGGGACAGCGTGTGCGGGGACAGCGTGTGGGGGACAGCGTGTGGGGGACAGCGTGTGGGGGACAGCGTGTGGGGGACAGTGTGTTAGGGGACAATGTATGCGGGGACAGTGTCCGCGGGGACAGCGTGTGTGGGGGCCGCCCGCAGGTGAAGGTCGCCCCTGACGGCAGGCCCTGAGCTCCTGTCCGGCCGAGGGGCTTCCTTCACTGTCGTCACCCCCCACTCAGCACAGGGGGAGCCGGGGGGACTCCGCTCAGCGGTGTCCTCACCAGTTCTGTTCGCTCCTGGAAACACTGCTGAGAGCAAAGGGGCTTGAACTTAGGGAATAAGTGCAACCAGTCCCCTTCCCGGGCTGCAGGGGGAGGGCGTGCGGGTGGCAGCGGCGGGGAGAACTTGACCCTGGCGCTCTCTCCGTCCGCAGGCGGCCAGAACGGCTTCAACATCCCGCAGGTGACGCCGTGCCCCGAGGTGCGGGAGTACCTGCAGATGGCGCCGGAGGAGCTGCACGCGCTGGACGCGCGGCGGATCCAGGGCTGCGCCCGCCGGCTGCTGTGCGACGCGTACATGGTCATGTACCAGAGCCCCACCATGAGCCTGTACAAGTAGCCGCCGGCCGGCCGGGAGGGCCGGAGCCCGCAGACCGCCGCTCGGCCCGGCGTCTGTGACAGCAGCGTTTGCCCGGGCGCCTGTGCTGCCGGTTCCCGAGAAGCCAGCGAAGCTAAAGCCCAGCCGGGTCCCCGGTGACCGCTGGCCCCGTGGGAGCACAGCGCCCCCTGCTTCGTGGGACGCCCTGGGCCGGCCGGCTGTAAATAAACGTGTCTTCCGTGCGGCCTGCCCTGCCTCGCTGTCCCGCGGCGGGCGGCTCCCGGGGGAAGATGGCGCAGCGCTGCGCTGGCCTCCCGTCGGCTGTTAAAGCGGGTGGACCGCCTGCCGGCCCCTCGGCGTTCGCGCTGCTGAGGCGGCCGGGAAAGTGCCCGCTTCCCCGGGGGGCGGTTTCTGTGGGGCCTGGGGTTTTGTCACCGAGCGTCCATTCCTGAATGACGTTCGTGGGGGGCTGACATGTACAGCCATTGGCCTCCTGGCCGCCGGCAGTGCCCATGTTCAAGGCTGTCCTGGGGGAGGGGCACGGGTTTCATTGAAGGCCCGAGTGACGGGGGTCACCCTACACACACCCAGGGCCAGCGGCGATGGACGTGGCCTGAGGCGTGGCTCGGGGACACGCCCTGAGAGACGCGCGAGGTGCCCAACCTCGGCCACGCGCGTCCGACTGCCCAGCGCTCAGGTCTGGCCGCGGGCAGCCGCCCCCACCGTGCTCACTGCTTCCCCTGGAAGTAACGGCCGTTCTGTTCACATGGCGGCAGCAGCTTATCCTGATGGAAGAGGCAGGAAACGGTGTTTGTGTAGCCGACACCCATAGCGTGTGTCCAGACAGCAGTGGGTGTTGTGGGTGTCTGTGCTGTGGCATGCGTGTGCTCCGAGCATTGTTTCCTGAGGTGCCTTCCTAGCCATGCAGGACAGAAGAGCGGTCGTGTGTGGAACACGTGACACATAAAACAGTGTCCGGAAGTGGCGGAGAGAGTCCTCAGACAGGCAGGTGTTTCTAACGGCGGGTCCACCTGTGCTCCCGTCATTCCACTCGCGAACACGCGTCAGCTCCACCAGCCAGGAGACTGCAGGAGTCCCTCCACCTCGTCATGTTCTCAGTCTGAAGCGAGCGCCCGCAACTTTTGCACGAGGGTTTGCTGAGAGCATGGGCGGGCTGCTGAGAGGGGCATGGACTGGGGGTGCAGAGCCCTGGTGGCAGGGTGGGGCCAGGAGGAGAGCCCGTGGGAGCCGCACGGGAGCACATGGAGGAGCACATAGGGGAGCACACGCATTCCCGCTGCACGGGCACCGCCTGTGGCAGACGTCCCTGAGCACGGCCAGGCCCGGCCCGGCCAGCAGTGGCTCCGCCAGCCCCAGCCCAGCCCCAGCCCAGCCCCAGCCCCCGCGGCTTGTCGGGAGCATTTCCCTGGGACGCGCATGCTTTTGCACTGCGGCATCTCCGCCGAGCAGCTGTGGCAGACACTGACCCCGCACAGCCTGAACTACTGAGCCCTGGTCCTTGCCGAAGTTCGTCAGATGTAAAGTGATTAAGGAAGCAACGAGTTTTAGATATGACTTAATCAGAGCTTTCCCACAGAACCTATTTAATTGGAAGAAGTATCATTTACCTTTAATAAGGGGTGCATTCGGAGCTGGCCCCACCATCCCGAGTCATCAGCTGGCTCCGGGGAGGCAGGGGGGCGGTCTGATACGCACCCACGGCCCGGGGGCCGGCTCCCCCACAGATGGTGTGCGGGGGTCCCTCGCCCTGGACGCAGGGACTCCCCGAGTCCCTCCCGTTTCCTCAGCACCTCGCTCAGGGCTGGCACACAGCAGGTGGGCACATATTTGAGAGTCAGAGAGGGAACTTCAGCCTTCAAGGAAAATATTCTTATTGATTTCATAGCGGAGGGAGGGAGGGAGGGAGAGGGAGAGAGAAACATCAATGGTGAGAGAGAATCACCTGGATTCGTACCCTGACCTGGAATTGAACTGTGACCTCCTGGTTCATAGGTCGGCGCTCAGCCCCTGCACCACACCGGCCGGGCAGCTTTCCGCCTTTCATGCACAGAGCCCTGCGGCTCGCTGCTGCTGGGGTGGCCGGAAGGACTTCCCGGTCCCCACGTCTCCTAGGAGGTCCCGGCCTCTGGCTCCCCAGGATCCTCTCCGAAGTGGAAACTGGTCGCTCTGCCTCCTGGGCTCTAGCGCTGAACCCACGTCCGCTGTGTGGGGTGCGTGGTGTGCGAGGTGCAGGGTGACCCTGCCTCCGCGGGGACCGGTGTTCTGGTTGCACTCCAGATGCTTTTTTATTTTTTAATGCCTCCCTTCCTTCTGGCGCAGCATCGCCATCGTGTGGCCATCCTAGGTTATGGCAACATCTTGGCTCCTGGCTGCAGCCAGCCGCCCGCTCCAGGTTGGGGGAAGCGGCAGGTGATGTTTGAAAGCAAATGCGGCGACGAGTCAGGGCCACGCGGCAGATTGTACAGTGATTCCAGGAGGCCTGGCGCTTCCTCCTGGTCCCTCAGGGCGGCGGGGGGAGGGGGGAGAGGGGATGCGCTGTCTTGGCCTGTCTGCCTGTGCGGCGTTTCCCCCGTCTCCCTCTCCCTGGCAGGCTCCTTTCCCAAACGGTGTTCCAGGTGAGTGAGTGCCATCTGCTGGGCACGGCCAGTCCTTCGTTAGGAACCTTCTCCTGTGGGTGCGGGAGCCGGCCTGTGAGCAGGAGCCTCCTGCCCGTGTGCTCACGTCTGCAGGGGAGCGGGCGGGTCTGCGTGTGCAAACCTCCTGTGCCCCGAAGAGGGGTCTCTGGGCCCCTGCCTCCGAGTCCTGGGCGTGAGCGCAGACAGGCAGGCTCAGAGCCGCCCCCAGCAGGGCCCTGGCATTGCCCTTTGACCTCCCAGGGGCTCTTGTACACACCAGGTCTGGGAGCCCCTGCCCTCTGTGGCCAGGACTTCCCTCGTTCAGCACAACCCAGAGGGCGCTGGCCTTTGGGCTGAGGCCGGCACAAGGCGCTGTCTGTGCGAGCCGAGCGGGGACACCTGGCGAAGTGCTGGCTCCCCCCGCCCCTCTGCCCGCCGGCTGCGTGGTGAGGACCACAGGGGCGCGCACCGAGGACTGCCGCGGTGACCCCGTCTCCCCCGCACGCCATTCCTGACCCCGGCCCCACCGGGCAGGCTGTGAGGCCAGGCCCTTCACCTCCCGGGGCTCAACCACCACGGTGGCTGCACGAGAAGGTTCCAGAACCGGAGGCCGCTGCCTTCCCCAGGGGCCCTTCGCTGAGCCTCTGTCCCTCCATCCCTGACACAGAAGGGCTGTCCTAGCCAGCTCTGACCTGCAGGGCCCTCGGCTGGCCTGGCCAGTGCTGCTCAGGTGAGAGCGGCAGCCCATGCACCACCAAAGGTTCTCGGGTTCGATTCCTGGTCAAGGCCAGGTACCTGGGTTGCAGGTTCGATCCCCAGCCCTGGCCAGGGCCTGTGTGGGAAAGCAACCAATTGATGTGTCTCTCACATCACTGTTGTGATGTGTCCCTCCCTCCCTCCCTCCTCCCTCCCTCCCTTCCTCCCTCTGTCTCTTCCTCTCTCTCTCCCTCCCTTCCTCCCTCCCTCCCTCCCTCCCTCCCTCCCTCCCTCCCTCCCTCCCTCCCTCCCTCCCTCCCTCCCTCCCTCTCTCTCTCCCTCCCTCCCTCTGTCTCTTCCTCTCTTCCTCCCTCCTGTGCACGATTCTGGCGAAAATGGAGTTCCGTCCGTCTGTCCGTGACTTATCCCCGATGGGCCACCAGGGTGGGAGCTGTGACCCACCCATTCGTTCCCCGCCTGCGTCCCCCCCTGCCCGCTCCCTCCCCGGCCCCCAGCCGTCCCTCCAGGCATCCTTCGCCATCCTAGCGCCTGGCTCTGGGGGCACCCAGGCTCCCCGATGCGTTTTTGATCAGATTGCCCAGTTTTGAGGGAGTCCCCTGTCAGGAATGTCTTTCACCGTAATCGGTCCAGTTAATGGCGGGCGTAACCGGCACACGCAGGGGCGGCCCGGGCACAGAACCCCGTGCTGCAGAGGCCCGGCAGCTGCCGCGGAGGCAGGCCGGGCTAGGCCGGGCCGGGGGAGAGCCAGTTATTAATAAATTACTCCATTGCCGGGGACCCCTCTTCAGACAAATTAGCAGGGGATCCATAATCAACTCTAACTGTATAATTTATAATAATTGATCTCGTTTTGACTGACCCCTCGCCGCTCCCCGAATGCCCTCGGAAGAAAAATGGCCCTATTAGGGTACGTTTAATCCTCAACACGAGCTGATGAATCCTATTACTTTAAGGTCATATTCGAAGCTCCTGTTAATTGTCAGAACCATTTTAAATTGATTAGAGCTAAATTAAATCAATGTCATGTTTGGAAAAAACAATATTTCTAATGGATGAGGCCCGGCTCACCTCAAACAAACATATTTATCAACCGATCCCCGGTGACGCGGAGGGGCGCAGCTGGGCCCATGCGTCACGTTTGTCTATAATGTGGGAAATGTCACCAGGCAATTCGTTATGTCAGGCAATGAATGGGGAGCACGGGGCTCCCTCACGGCAGCTGGGGCGGGTGGGGGTAGAAGGTTCCAGACCGGCCACTCACCTCCCAATGGCTGTCCTTCCCCCCATCCCCCACACAGGGCTCCCAGGATCTCATTCCCATAGTCCCCTGAGCTCAGCTGGCCCCACCGGCCGCTCCAGCCCCGCCCCTCCCTCTCCCTCTTGCAGAAGCTGGGACGCAACCCCTTGGCCTGGTCCACGCCCACTCCTCCCATCAGCCCTTGGGCTTTGCTAGGGTGTCACTACCTCCAGGAGGCCTTCCCTGATACCCCCAGGCTCCATCGAGTCCCCCCAGCACCGGTGTCCCTGTCCCAGCTGCCACCCGACATCGGTGTGGCTCTCGGATGGCTGTCCAGTGCGGGGGAGCAGGCCTGTCGCTCTGCTTAGGTCTGGGAGGGGGCTGCTGGGTGGGGGGGTGGGAGCCGTGGCACCTGACTGCAGACAGCCCCC